GTCGAGAGTGAGACTAGTATTTAACCCCACTGATTTAGGGAGTGAACTTTTTTTGATATTTTCTTTACTAGGTCAAGGAAACTTTTCGACTGATTTAGTTATTAACTCAGAACTAAACTTTCTCCGCAACATATTCACTCAATCTTCTAACCGTTCTTCTTTACTCTTATCTTTCTGATTCGAAGAGATAGCAACTCCGGAAATTTTTAGCAAATTAAGGTCTTTCTTCTCGTCGGACTGGGATTTAAGGCTAATTTGGGTCGGAGTTAATTTTTCCTTATCCCGCAGGTAAGCTACTAATTCATGCTCATTGGGTTGAAAACCGAGATCGATTCATTCTTTAACTTCCTCATAAGTAAAATCTTTTTTCACTCAACCTAGTTTCCAGTCTTCTTCTCCAGGAGTGAAATCGGAGTGAATCTGTTTTCAATCCTGTTTATCATGATATTTCTCAGCTACCTGACAAGTTCGCAACCAATCCGCCCAAGTGTAAAGTTCTTGCGGAGAAAATATTTTCTGCCAGTTTTCATATTTTTCAAGGCTGATTCCCCCGGCTTCATACCATTGTTGAGCAGATTTGACTTGGGCGGCTTGTGTTTTCTTTTGAAATTCTTGTCTTAACTCAGCAATCTCTTCGAGTTTTAAGACTTGCTGATTGGTTAATTTTTTTTCGTGTTTTAGGTAATAAGCTAATTCGTGGTCTTCGGGTTGTAACCCAGCCTTAATCCAATCTTGACAATCGGCATAATCGAATCCCGCTTCTATTCATCTTAGTTTTAAATCTTCGGGACTAAATTCTTGAGTTGACTTAAAACTGAAATGAATATTGCTTCAATCTAGTCCATCGTGGTATTTTTCTAAATTTCTAATTAGTAAAAGTAATTGAGGCAAAGGCTTTTGGTCTAAATCCGGAATTATTTGTTGGGCCGCTTGCAAAAGTTGGTATTGCTGTTCACTAAATTTCCCTCTTTGGTATCACCTTAAATGTTGAATATTAGTTGTGATTGGGCTGGGATCTGATTCTATCTTTCTTAGTTGCAGATTTTTATTCTCTAATTGCAAAATTTCCTCGCTTAATAATGAATCTGTTTTGGAGAACGATATTTTTGCGGGTTTATTTTCGGATAGTGCTAGTTCAGGAAAATTATTTAATGTTTCCATTACCGATTACGCTCCAACTTTAAAAAAGGCTCGGGTTTCAGTAGGGAATGTTCCTATTGGCATTTACAAACAAGGACCAAAACATAAAAGCATTTTAGACAGCAAAACGCCTTACTGAATACACAACGGGCAAAAAGAACCCGAAATTTTTGAAACATTTCAGAAAGTCAAACACCAAGGCAATTATTACGCTTCGGTCCGGAATTTCTTTGCCAAAATGGTGATGAATTTTGGGATTAATGACTTATTTTTGTGCCTAACTTTCAACAACCAACAAAAAAACCTCCAATTCCGACGGACCCCGTGAAGCGACGGCCAATGCTTTTTTTCGGATTGTTGAAATGGCGAACACCTTTATAAAACCGTAGGCCCTGCCGTTAGTTCTTTCCTCGCCGAAAAAAGAATAGCCAGTAAGAAACTCGGGCGAGATTGCGAGGGAGTAAACGATTTATTTTTACGCTTTATCTACGATATCCAAACCTATTTCCAACCGGAAAATTTGCGTTGAGCGGCCGTGCCTGAACTTCACAAATGCCAAGTAAAATGCCACCGAAAAAACCGCCAAGACCAAAACAAAAAACGCAATAAAGCCAATCACAACCCCGTATTTTGTCGTTGCGCCACTAAACACGAATGCCAAAAAAATTGGCATATTCACCTAGTTATTAGTGATTTTTTTCCTGATTATTGCCGTCATGCTAAATGTGGTTTGGATTTGGGCCGCGGTTGTCCGGATTGTTCTTTTATTCTTTCGCATTTTTGGCCCTGAGGATTGGTTTTTGTGAAAAGAATACGCGATTTACGCCACCGCCGCCAACGAGTGAAAAGCCCCGAAGCCATAGTGCGATATTTGGCGAAGTATCTGATTAAAAATTTCAATTTGCGCCAGGACCCTGAGAAATCCCAAAAATACGGACTATTGCCAGGCATGGCGGTTTATAAATTTTTTCGTGTCGGTATCAAAAAACCCGTCCAATATTCACGGGTA